TGCCCCCGGACCCCCCAGGACATTGTTGTCTCTGTCTCTTATACACATCTAGATGTGTATAAGAGACAGGATTATTAGATAACTGATTAGATAGAGTAGTGAAACGGAATTTATGTGTTGTTGTTTTGTAATCTTTGTGCAATGTAGAGACTCAGGATTTTTGTTAATGTATCATTCGTAATTTAGCTGCAAAGATCATCAATGATGATATTTTAAAATACAGTAGAACCCCTATTAAGGGGACACCTTCGGGACCAAAAAAATTGTCCGCTTAATAGGGGTGTCCCCCGAATTGGGGTACCCCTATTCAAGGGACACCTACCAAAAACGTGAATAGGGGTTTTTGGCATGTTTTCATATAACGATGACATACAATTCTTCATAATCTTATTTTTATTAACATAATTAGTTACAGTAGAATTTACAACTAATTTATAGCATTAATTTTCAAGGCAAATACAATTCATTTATAATATTAAATCAGTAGAGATGTAATTAAAACAACATTAGTTTTACATGTTCCCAATATTGTTTCATGATGGAATGTTAATGAATGAATTAAAATCCTATAAAAGTGCACGAAAAACGAAGAAAAGGAAATCCCAATGGTTAAGGGTCAACAGGCGCAGATCCCTGTCTCTTATACACATCTAGATGTGTATAAGAGACAGCATTCGTGAGTCAAGCCGGAAAATAAAAAATAGGGTGACAAATTTGAGTTAAAGAGAGGAAGAGCTAAAAAGGGAGTGCACCCATGAGTTCAATGGCGATACAGCAGTGGACAAAAGAAAAACTCGATTATTTAGGCCTACCACTTATTGGTGGGGCTGAGGTGGCCGTGGCGGCGTGAACGTCATTTGTTCACAGACGGATTATTTCACTTGGTTCAAAATTCTTTTTGCAATTTCAGTTAAAATATTATTATTATTATTTATTAACAAAAGCTCGCCCTTGACAAGCAGCAGTAGAAAGGTGCAAAAGTTCCTTAATAAGTTGCTCTAAATTTGTCAATATTTAAAGCTTAGTGATTTTTTAAATTTTGAGTCTTGTATTTGTTGCGATACAATAGAAAAAAAAGTGTCCCCATAATAGGGGTTATTTGACCATTAGCACTCAGGTGTCCCCGTCCCTTAATAGGGGTGTCCAGGGGCGGATTTAGGGGGGGGGGGCGCCCCGGCCCCCCGCCCCCTTTTGGGAGGTCAAAAAAGAAAAAAAGAAAGAAAAGAAAAAGAGAAAGAAAAGAAAAAAATGATAGCCCACAACGCCTCAAATGTTATTTTCCGGCGTCTAGAACACAAATATTTCGCGGGGGCATGCCCCCCCCGGACCCCCTGCGACAGTGTTGTCTCAATTGTCCCAACTTTCGGCTCCCCCTTTCGCCCCCCCCCCCCCTTTTTGGACATCTCTGGATCCGCCCCTGGGTGTCCCCTTGGCCGCAGTGTTAAATGACTGGCCTATATCTCCCCTCGTTTCACAGAAAAGTGTCCCCTTAATAGAGGTGTCCCCTGAATAGTTCACTTTATAACTTGAACTTCATCTGAGTCCTGTTACTTTAGCAACTTGCCACTGACACGACATCCCGTTAGGCCTAATTTCGCGCCAATTTCAAGCCTCAACTGACGCCCTCATTCGATACACAACACACGCCAAAACAAAACACCGTACATGCTTTTTTTCCAACGTTGTTTAGACAGAATATCGTCGAAAATAAGTGCTGCAACAAAATATCGGTTGGTATATAGTAAATTGAAAAAGTTTTTAACAAGTAGTATGTTGTATTTTCGCAGATTTCACCTTATTATTTAACGTGTGCTAGGAAATTTTTGTACAGGCTAGGCCTAGGTGGGTGGCCAGCTAGCTGCAAGGCCTAGGCCAAACTAGTAGAGGAAGGTAGGCTAGGCTCATCGCAAGTGAGCCGAGAGCCGACCAGGGCTTATTTTAGTGTAGGCCTATCTATGGCATAGGGTGATCCGGGCCTAGTAGGCCAACAAACATTCATATATAGGGCTAGCCTAGGCTTCTGTTAATTTGACGTAGGCCTAGGCCTATTCAGATCAGAGAAAATTGTACTTTTGGTTATTGATATCTGAATGAATTAGCCTAGGGCCTAGCCTACTGTAGCCTAAGCTAATAGTAAATACTAATAATTTAATAAAATGTAAGTAAACAAGTAAATCTACTTAAGTCATTTTTGTTGTGCCCAGGCTGCCTATTTTCCTTGGCTTGTTGAGGGAATGTGACAGAACAAACATTCCCACACAGAACACAGCAGACCTGGCCATCTGGACAGGGTACAAATGCTAGGCCTTAGCCTGGCCGAATCTATATATCCCAGAAGTCTGAAGTTGGGAGAAGCCACTTCCGGGAAGAAAATTAAATGATTTCCATGCAAATGTTGCAGAAAATTGGGCCTTGGCATATGTACAGTCTCAACCAATGTATTCGAAATTAAATTTTGCGCACATATTTCAACGAGTTCCTTGCATATTTATAGTTTTTTTTTTGTATCCACCACACAATTAGAATCAGTCTTTCTTTCACTCATACTCAGACTCACTTTATTGCATTCTTTTACGGAAATTTGTTGCTCGTAGATTGTTAAACTATCAAAATTGGTTAAAATTTAAAGATGTACAGTACAGTTTGAAGGACAAAAATTCTTTACGTTTAAAAGAGTTATTAAAAAAGGATACCAGTTGAATGGGGTGTGCCCTGTCATACATACACCACTGAAAGATGGAGAAGGTTACATAATGTGCATAATTGGAGCCAATAAACAATATAAAGAAAGACATGGTTTTTTATGTAACAAATGGTAAAGGTAGAAAAATAACCCTTAAACTCTTTGCGCCATTGTGTTAAATTGCATATGGGCATTAACATCATTCCACAACGGTAGTGACTGAATTGAACCATAGCATCGGGGTAACACCCAACTTTTCCATAGATACAATTTTAAAGTGCACACGAGCCAGATGTGTACACTGGACCTGAATTTTAAGTCTGATAAAACATGGTTCTACCAACTGTGGAGCGGCTCTAAACAAGTGTCGATGTTAAGGCGCTGTAACAATGCTAATTATATGCAAATTCCTACTTGTGTAACCATTAAAAATCTATAGCAACAAAAAATGTTGTATTTCTAGTCTTTCAGAACTAAGTCACCTGAGATATCAACATGAGTGTTGTATCATATCCGGGTCAAATTCTATATGAAGTTGATGGACAGGTGAAATTCAGTAGCATTTCTGGTGGCCAGCAACCTTGGAAGGATGGCTCCCTAGAGATTATTGCGACTGCAGAGGGCGAGGTTCGCTGCACGGTCAAACCAAAACATGGCTGGCAAAAAAAATTCAAGGTGAAATTTAATTAACCTTATACTGTATTGATAATCAAACAGTGTTTACAGATATGAATTTAAAATCAATGAGCAAACATTATTGAAACTGTATTGAAGTTGTGAGGCAACATCCACTTACATAGAAATTATTATTATTATTAATTATTATTTATATGATATATGAATACCATATTTAATAATTAATATGTTAACTAATTTCTATTCAAATATATTTGGCACCAACCAAAATTGATAGTTTGCACCTCAGATCATTATTTTAATGATGTTGGTAATAGCTAAATCCTATAGTAAATTGGAAATTTGAATGCAAATATATACAGTATCCTGGAAATATAGCATTTAGTGGGAGATGGGTGCTCGTTGGTCACATATAATCTATTAGAATCATTTATCCTATTTGTTTCATTCGCAGTTGAGCAAGTTGACCATAAGGAATATTACTTTGAATTCAACCAACTTGTTAATTCACTTGGTAGAAGGTGGCAATATCCGTATACAAACTAAAGATGAATCAAACAAACGAAAGCTTCCAAAGTTGAATAATCTGCTTGAAAATGTAATGAAAGGTATATTAATGCATTTAATTTATTTATTTTGGTTTTTTTTATTTTTTTTTTATTTTATTTTTTTTTCTAGCCTTGTTGAAAGTAGACATAATTCCACTATTATTTGTTTTTGGGGGTCAAAGGCATATCAGGGATGTAGTTATAGTGGGTGGGGCCAGTCTAAAGCTAATTTCATGGCCTTCCACCCACCCTTATTAACCCAATTTTCCAACCTTAAAATCCACTCTTTAATAATGTTATCACCCACCCACCATTAAAATGTCTCACCTATTAAGAACTTAAAGGTCATTTAGTCCTTCAAAAATATAAATATTTGTATATTATATATTTATATTGACTATAAAAGTATTTATATTTATTATGCCGAAAATTATGCCCTTTTTGTTCTTTTAAGATGGGCTGAAGTACAATGAGAGACAGTTGAATCATTCATTTAGTTTATCACCAACATCAGGCAACCTGGTACATAGTCATCATAATAATGTCAAGGTAAATTAAATTTGTTCACATTTTATTAATTGGTTTAAAGGTTTCTTACCTGATGACAACAGTTGCAAGTCCACTACTTTCTAAGCAATAGCAAATCTCCTTTCACTTCCCATACCTTCCAAACCAAATAGTTGGTATACCGGAATATCCAAAACCTGCCACACACTCAAAAAACTTTTAAAAATACTTGTTACTGTGTCGTAATATTATGCATTATCAAAATGACAAGCTTTTCATCCACATCTATTTCGGTTCATGCTAACATCCAATCAGAAATGTGAGAAATGGGATGTTTACGTTTACAAACAATGTAATTCCATAGCATTTACCCCCACATCAATAATAATAATAATAATTTGCGATTTGTATAGCGCCTCCCGTTAGACCAACCTCGAGGCGCTTCACAACAACGGAAGGAAACGGACAAGAGAATAATAAAACCATGAACCTAGACTAACAAGGAAAAAAGAAAACGCCTAAACGAACCAAACCAACACCGCACCGTTTATCGGCAATTTAAGGCGTAAAGTGATATTTGAGAGAAACATGTTAAATTTGAATCAGAATTGAAAATATATTTTAATAGTAAATATTTAATGTAATAGTGTAGGATTTCTACAGTGCCTTTAACAATATGAAATTGGTTTACTATATAAGTATATATAATTAATTGTTTATTGTCCCAGTACCTCATGTCTATGATGTTATGTAATTTCACTTTTTTTTTCTAATTTTGACTACTTATATTAATTGCTAAACAAAATTGTACAATCAAATACTGACATCAAAAGTACACATTGTTTATCTCATCAATAATTCCTACCGCCTATTATTCTATTGTCTATAAATAAATATTTTTCATCTGATATTTTTTGTACCATTAGACGCCTGTTAAGGATCAACGCCTCAATTCAAGCAACCCAATGACCACGCCCACTAGCGTCTTAAAATTATTTGCATATGATGGCCCAAATAGTGCTGATTCTGATGTTGATGGTGGTACCTTACCACTATTTGATGATGTCAGAGAGTCAGATGATCTTGACAAAGAAAATGTGGATTCTAAACAAAGGTGTGTTTCATTCAATAATACTTTTGTAAAACATGAATATAATAAATTGATTTATTAGAAATAAATATTGTAAATGTTAACTAAAGTAATACTTTTGTATTTCTTGAATACTGATTGTGTGTAAAAATGAATGTTCGTCACCTGTATAGGTAATATATAGTATACAAATAACGAGGGGCATGGTACAAATTATAGTCCGAGGTGATCTGGAGGCTGAACTATGACCCAATTAAAATCCCAGTAAATATTTGTTTTATATACCACTACATAGATTCCCCGTCCTTGAGTCGTGAAGAGGAATCTAGAATACTCTGCCGTTGTTATTCCTAGCCTACCAGTATGCAGCAGAGCAATCGTCAGCCTCCAGGTCATCAAATTAGGTCAAATTTGATTAAAAATTAGTAGAAGCACGCCTTCAACAATAAACTGATTTACCGAGTGTAAACGAGTTATCAAATGCAGGCCTCAATGAAGGGCTAGCCAAGTTTTAGGCCTAAGCCTCTTTGCGACTCATGAACAGGGAATCTATATAGTGGTATATAAAACAAATATTTACTGGAATTTTATTCAGGTCATAGTTCAAATTATAGACCTTGGTGATCTGGGGCTGTACTATGTCTATCGACTTCAACTTGGGATATAGTACAGCCTCGCTATATAATTTGAACCATGCCCCTCAACCTAGTAAATATTTGTATTGGATTTTTCCGTGTGTTACACATTAAGGCTAACCCAAGAAAGTCCTGAGACTTATTTCTAGTAGGGTCCTTCTGGTGGTGAATTGGGCAGTACACTGGAAGACAATTGAAGGTTAAAGGTTAAATTGAGGCTCAACTTTATGTGTGATTTGTTTTTATTATTTTTCTTCAGATCACGTAAACCTGAAAGCATATATCACAAGAGAAAAGAATCAGGCGGATCATTATTTATGGAATCATTTGAAGAGAATAAGAAATTAAGAAGTAAGTTTGATTACTATAATAATTTTTGCATTGTTAGCCCTGTGAACTTTGTACATATTTAGGTTCTTCCACATAATATAAATTTCCTTTAGACATTTATCTTCCACTTTCTGAAAAATAGTTATTCAGATTCGAAAAAATAAATACAATTGCCCGTCTTATCATGGTCTACTATGTCATAGATACATATCTTGTAATTGTCCTCATTATCTCTTCAGTGTATAAAGGTCAAGGATTTACCTGAGTTAATAGAACATGCTTGTGTTTAGACCTACAAGGGGGATATTACAAACAAGTTTTGTTTATGCTTTTCGATCTAACTGCGCCATGTAGAAAAGCACGATATACAGATCAGAAACTAGCTGTATTTTCTAGAGTAACAAAAGCATTAAGTAGTATTCTGTACCATTACCATACATCTGTGGGCCTAGCCCCAGCTGGAATATCACAAGGTGCTTTTGGTGTCACACATGGGCTTACACCTTTTGAATGTTTCCTCAGCTCCAGCATCATCGGTGAAGAAGCCTGCATCGTCGTTTTACAGTCGAGGGAAACAGATGCTACATGCTGCCTCTCAGAATTTTCTAGAGTAAGTTGTATTAAATGTAGATATTTAAGCAGTTTGTTTGCTTATTAAAATCTGATATTTATTTAAGGGTGTTAGGGTTTGCTACTTTCTTACAAAGTGGTCGTTGAGCTCCAAAATTTTAAGCACTTCAATTACAAACAGTGCAGATTTGAACTGACAATATACCATATTTATTTTAAAATCAGGGCGTTTGTTGTTGAGAAGGGTTTTTGAGGAGGAATTTATTCAAGGGATGCGTGTATGTTTTTTGGTGTAAAATGCATATGTATAAAACTCGAATAAACATTAATTTCACTGTATAAATGTGGGGAACTACAGCACATAATTTCCGTCACATTTGTTAATGCGTGATCATAAATACTTACTGATCCAAACCGGGTTAGAAAAAATGTAATTCTACCAGAGTAGAACATTATAGACTATTGAGAATGATGTTGCTTGCACTAGATATGTTTAGTCGTTTAGAGGGCGTTTATTCGAGAGAGAAATAAAGGCCTCGGGGCATGTATTTGAGGGAGGCGTTCATTACAACTACGGCTCTAGAAGGGGTGTTTAATCAAGTGTGGTGTTTGTTCAGAGCGGGTCGTTTATTTAAATAAATAAGTATATTAAAGACAAATATTTTTTACTGTTCTCTGTGTAGGGAAGCAAATTCTCCTAAATTGACTTCTTATTTTAAAATCAGAACATTTGTAAATATGATTTGTTAATTTGTTATCGAATCAGTATAATTGTAATTCTTTGTATGCATTCTGAAGTCAGCCTTCAGATCAAGAGTTCTTGAAATTTTTTTTTTTATCTATAATTTTATTTCACATTAAAAAAAAAAACCAAATTTATATTATTATTTCAGGAAACCTTCTGCAGCAAGAAAGCCACAACTTCTACCAAGTCCCAAGAAAGCGCGTCTTGGAGACGGTATTTTTAGGAGTTGGCAAGAAAAGCCAAAGTTATTTACATCCAACTTCAGTCAGCCAAAACTAAGAGGGTGAGGGGGTCAAACGTTTTTCCACAATTTTTATGAGAATACAAAACAATATTTTTTATGGGGAGGGAGATGTACTTGGATGGAATAAACCCCTAAAGTATATAGATTAATTCTGCCTAGACTCTAGTCTTTGGATATACAATTTACAAGTTCCAGTAATATTAGGTAATTTAGCAAAGATCGAATACACTCAATATAAAACATTGATGATATATCATACAAGGTTTCCATTTTAGAGAAATAAATGTATGTAACATGGCCGGCGGAAATGTCGGGAAAGCTCATTCCCGCTTTCTACGAATTAAAATTTTCCCGGGGGAGAACCCCCGGATCACCCTTTCTTTTTGGGATTTATCGATTCATGGAAAAAAAGAATACGCATGCAACTACTCATTTATTTATCTGTCTCTTATACACATCTAGATGTGTATAAGAGACAGCTTTTATATTTTTTATGTATGTATACACACATAAGGCCTATGTACTGTAATAACAATAGGATAAATTTACCTGACCGTTTTCAAGAGGGGAAAACCTTGAATTTTAAAGAACTTAAAAGTAATTAAGACACCTCAGTAGTCGGGAAAACTCATTTCCCGCCTTCTAAGAATCAAAATTTTTCCGGGGGAGAACCCCGGACACCCCTTTCTTTTTGGGATTTATGGATTCATGGAAAAAAATCATATGCAACTACTCAATTTTTTTTTATGTATGTATACACACATAAGGCCTATGTACTGTAATAACAATAGGATAAATTTACCTGACCGTTTTCAAGAGGGGAAAACCTTGAATTTTAAAGAACTTAAAAGTAATTAAGACACCTTAGAAGTCGGGAAAACTCATTTCCCGCCTTCTAAGAATCAAAATTTTTCCGGGGAGAACCTCCGGACACCCCTTTCTTTTTGGGATTTATGGATTCATGGAAAAAATCGTATGCAACTACTCAATTTTTTTTATGTATGTATACACACATAAGGCCTATCTACTGTAATAACAATGGGATAAATTTACCTGACCGTTTTCAAGAGGGGAAAACCTTGAATTTTAAAGAACTTAAAAGTAATTAAAAGACACCTCAGAAGTCGGGAAAACTCATTTCCCGCCTTCTAAGAATCACAATTTTCCCAGGGGAGGACCCCCGGACCCCCCTTTCTTTTTGGGATTTGTGGATTCATGGAAAAAATCGTATGCAACTACTCATTTTTTTTTTTATGTATGTATACATACATTAAGGCTTATCTACTGTAATATCAATGCAATAAATTTACCGGACCGTTTTCAAGAGGGGAAAACCTTGAATTTTAAAGAACTTAAAAGTAATTAGGTCTAAAAGACACCTCAAAAGTCGGGAAAACCCATTTCCCGCCTTCTAAGAATCAAAATTTTCCTGGGGGAGAACCCCCCTTTCTTTTTGGGATTTATGGATTCATAGAAAAAAATTGTATGCAACTACTCATTTCTTTTTTATGTATGTATATACACCTGTCTCTTATACACATCTAGATGTGTATAAGAGACAGATCATTCTCAGCCGCTGGAATTTTAAAGAACTTACAAGACACCTCAGAAGTCGGGAAAACTCATTTCCTGCCTTCTAGGAATCAAAATATTCACGGGGGAGAACCCCCGGACCCCCCTTTCTTTTTGGGATTTATGGATTAATGGAAAAAAAAAAGGTATGCAATTAGGCCTACTCAATTTTTTTATGTATGTATACACACATGAGGCCTATCTACTGTAATTACAGGGATAAATTTACCTGACTGTTTTCAAGAGGGGAAAACCTTGAATTTTGAAGAACTTAAAAGTAATTAAAAGACACCTCGGAAGTCGGGAAAACTCATTTCCCGCCTTATAGATATCAAAATTTTCACGGGGGAGGACCCCCGGACCCCCCTTTCTTTTTGGGATTTGTGGATTCATGGAAAAAATCGTATGCAACTACTCATTTTTTTTTAATGTATGTATACATACATTAAGGCTTATCTACTCTAATATCAATGCAGTAAATTTACCGGACCGTTTTCAAGAGGGGAAAACCTTGAATTTTAAAGAACTTAAAAGTAATTAGGCCTAAAAGACACCTCAGAAGTCGGGAAAACCCATTTCCCGCCTTCTAAGAATCAAAATTTTCCTGGGGGAGAACCCCCCTTTCTTTTTGGGATTTATGGATTCATAGAAAAAAATTGTATGCAACTACTCATTTCTTTTTTATGTATGTATATACACATAAGGCCTATCTACTGTAATAACAATGGGATGAATTTACCTGACTGTTTTCAAGAGGAGAAAACCTTGAATTTTAAAGAACTTACAAGACACCTCAGAAGTCGGGAAAACTCATTTCCTGCCTTCTAGGAATCAAAATATTCACGGGGGAGAACCCCCGGACCCCCCTTTCTTTTTGGGATTTATGGATTAATGGGAAAAAAATGGTATGCAATTAGGCCTACTCAATTTTTTTATGTATGTATACACACATAAGGCCTATCTACTGTAATTACAGGGATAAATTTACCTGACTGTTTTCAAGAGGGGAAAACCTTGAATTTTGAAGAACTTAAAAGTAATTAAAAGACACCTCGGAAGTCGGGAAAACTCATTTCCCGCCTTCTAAGTATCAAAATTTTCACAGGGGAGGACCCCCGGACCTCCCTGTTCTTTGGAAACCTTGAATTTTGAAGAACAAAGTCATTAGAAACCTAGCTTAAAAGTCGAGAAAGGTCATTTCCTGCCATCTAGAAATCAAAATTTTCCCGGGGGAGGACC